CTAATCTGAGTTTATGTAGGATAACAAGTGAATTTTTTTATTGATGATTTATTTTAATTTAATTTTTTTATTTTTTATTTTTTATTAAAATCTTGTATACAATATTATACCTAAAAATTACAAAAATTACTAATTAAATTTTTACAATTTGATATAATCTAACATAGTTTTATAGACAATTTCGTAGTAGGCGGATCGTAAATATTAAGTGTTGCCTAATAGACCCCATTTATATTGTCTCATTCGCAGGGCAGTCAAAAAGGTTACTTCAATCATCTGGAGCAGACGTCATTGTCTTAGCCTGAGCTCCAGGACTTGTCGAGCTGACTCTGGGACGGCTCTTCTGCTGACGTACTGTGCGTGCTGCTTGCCAGCCCAGCAAAATGAATGCTACCTCGCCGAAGTCGTCGCTGGTCAAACTGGGTCTGCATACCAACAAACAGAAGACACTGAAGGTTATGGTGCTCGGCCAGAGTGGGGTTGGTAAGACGGGTAGGTGGAGTGTGCTTCCTCGCCTCGCTGCCCTCAAACACACTGGGCTCACGGCTCTTCCATTTCCATTTGCAGCGATGGTCGTGCGTTTTATAACGCGTCGCTTCATTGGCGAATACGATCCGAATTTGGAGAAAATCTATACCTGCCAGACAACGCTGGACAAGGAGTCGGTACAGTTTGACATACTGGATGCCACCGGGCAGCTGCATGTGAGTGCTGTCACTCTAACATTCTCAATAGAATCATCTGAAGGATACTTCCAATCCTGCAGGAACTGGACGGCGTCACCCTGGAGTCGAATATACGCTGGGCCGATGCATTCATTCTCGTTTACTCCATCACAGACAAGTGCTCCTTCGATGAGTGCAGCCGCCTCAAGTTCCTCATCAACTACAACAAGCGACGACGCAAACTGGGCTCCGCCAGCAAGGTGAGCGAGCCATTGGCTGTCTCTATCTGGGTGTCTCTATCTATTTGCCGTTGCAGGAATACGCCTTGGACATCCCAGTCATACTGGTGGGCAACAAGACAGATCAGACTGGCGATCGAATGGTCAGTCTGGAGGAGGGACAACGTCGCTTCCGTGAGCTCTCCTGCGCCTGTTTCCATGAGATTTCTGTGAGAGAGAGCATCGATCAGGTGCGTTCAATAGATTTCCATTCGTTAGCATTCAGTTATGTTTCACTTCCAACTGTTCAGGTGCAAAACGTATTCCGCGATGTGTTCCGCTTCTGGCGTGTATTTAGTAAATTTCCAAAGCTCAAACGTTCCACCAGCGATGTGGCGCATGAGGCCGACGGCAATCTGACGCCCGATTCCGGCTCCTGCTCCTTCTACGATGCGACGCCGCTGGGCGTGGCCCGACGCTCGTTCCTGGTCATTGGCAGCGCCTGCCAAGAGGAGAACAGCGCCGATCACACCGAATCCACCGACGACATAGCCAGCAACAGTCTGGACAGCTCACACAGCAATATCGATGCACCGTTCCGGAATCGCGCCTCTACCGATGGCACCCTGCTGTCGAGGCCCCGACGCTGGCGCTACCCGCCGCCCGGCTGCCTAATGCCGCACACAAATCGCGTCGAGCGTCGCATGAGCATCTCGACGAGAGGCAGCAATGCCAGCTACTGAAACTCACTTAGTTAGTCCAAATGTTGCGCCAAATATATCTATAGCCAAATGTTGAATATAATATGCGTATATATGTATGTGTACAATTATCGATAGGTGTCGTCTGGGAATATCTTAATTGGAGTTGAATCAAAGTCGAGCAGCTTTAATCAATGTAGCAATCCCCTACTCCCAAATCTCAATCAGAGCTACATACATATATTTGCACTTGCAACAATTTTAAACAGTAAAAGCATTAATACAGTTATCGACCTTGGCCAACGGGCCTAATCATCGTCTATCTTGAGCATATACTCCTCAGCGCGCAGAGCTAGCTCACGTATGTTGCGCAGACAGCCAGCGGCAGCCAGCTGCAGCTCCTTATTGGTGGATCCAATGCACTCCAGTAGGAAGGGTACCACGCCGCTCTGTGGACAGGGAATAGAGAATAGGGAAAGGGGATTAGGGATTAGACAGATTAGCAGCCAAGGCACATGGATACAGACCTGGTGCATAGTGATGCAGTTTTGCGGATCCATCGATAGCTTCTCGAGGGCCATGGCCGTGGTGCGGTGCACCAAAGGATTCTCGCTGGTCATGTAGGTGACAATGGGTGTGACGGTGCGCAGGCGTCCCAGCTCCTCCGTGTTGTTGCCGAAACAGGCGCAAGCAGCGACGGCCGCCGCTAGGTTCATGCGCAGCATATCATCCGTTGTATTGACCAAGTCGGCGAGCTTATATATGACACGAAGATCCGTTAGAATGGCTAGATTGGTCTGGTCCAAGGCGATGGTGGCGATTGCCGCACAGACCGCTGACAGTACCATGATTTCCTTGGACTTGAGCAAACCCACTACCAGCTCCATGGCGCCGACCAGACTGCGCACAAGCTCAGCGGAATCCGTAGCATTCCGGACGCATGGACAAATGGCGTAGGCGGCATTCGCCTGGACGCGCGGACTCGTATTTTTGAGCAGCGACCAAACCAGACGCACTGCATCCAATTGCTCTAAAATACGCATACTCTCTGGATCCTCGGCGCACTCCTTGATCGCCGTGGCCAAGTTCTCGAGCAGCGGCGCGTGCGAGGAGTTAAGCAATGCCACCATTGCCGGCAATCCATTCGAATTGAGCACTGCCTTGCGGTTCTGCTTGAAGCGCACGCATTCGGACAAGGCGCCGGTGACATTGGTTAGGACCTCATCGCACTCGTCGGACAGCAGGCCAACCAGATGGTGTACAACATTCATGTCATCCAATTGCTCGACATTCTCATCGGACATGGCGCACATCCAAATGGCGCCAGTGGCGCCTCTGATCAACGGCTTGTTGTCCCGCACCGACTTGTCCTTCAGGATGCTGACGAGCGGCGCCAGTCCGCCCGCCTCGCGCACCAGATCCCTGGTGGTTGCATCAAAGGCGCACTTGTAGAGCGCCGTGCTGCACTCCACTTTCAGATCGATGTTCTCCGAATTCAAATGGGTCACAATATCCGCTATCATGCCTTCTGTGGTAATGGCCAGCTGGAATTTCGGTTCGGACGAGCATTTCTTCACGGTGCCCATAATCGGAATGACCACATCAATGTGCACGGACTTCAGCAAGTTGGCCATCAGAGGCACAATGCCGCTCTTTCGCATCTGTTCCATGTTGTGCTTGGAGTCGGCCAGCGTCCAAAGGGCACGTGAACCGGCTCGGGCCATGTCCAGAAATTCGATTTCCTCGGTGGTCAGTTGATTGCGTGGCGTCTGCAATATACTGCAGCGTATCGAAAACGAGAAGTTCATATATACAACAGATGTGATATGCGCCCGAATATAGCTACCTCACTATACTACCTCGTTTTGATGTCCAGCAGATCGACCAGCTTGGAAATGCCGCCGCACTGGCGCACGTATTTGCGAGCCAGGCGAACCTTGCTGACATTGGCCAAGGTCTCGGCGGCCATGGTCTTCAAGTCCTTCATGGATGAGTTGAGAATGTCGACAATCAGTGGTATGCCATCGAGATCCACGATCGTCTTCCGTATGTCAATATTGAGGGTTATGTCGGCGAGCACTGTGAGGGCGCCCAGGCAGCACTTGGTATCGTTGCACTCCAGTATGTTGACTAAGACATCCAGGCCACCAATATCTTGGATGGCGAACTGATTGATTTGGACGCGCAGATCGTAGTCCTGCAGGCAGCAGAGGCTAACTATGGTGGCTGTTTGGTTGCCCGCTTTGATGTACTTGACCAGCTTCTGGATGTTGTAATATTCGGCAGGAATTTCGGCAGCTCGCGCCACATCCTTCCAGCGCTCTTCCTCGTCCGTTGACGATTCCTCCTCTGTGGTATCAGAATCATTCATAACCACTTGACGTTTGTCCCTGGCGAAGCGATCCGGACAGGAGCCACATTGTTCGCGGATCTTTCGCGGGCGACGCTGCCCGGCGGTGCCAATCATTGTGGAGCACAAGCTATCAATATATAATATATATTTACATTTAAATATTTACGAATATATATATACACACAACCTTTCATACACAAGTAATTAGTGAGGAGCCTGTTGCTGTAGATGAAGTTAAATTTTCAGAAATTTGTGTGTAGTTTACGTAAAGGAATTTCAACATATTCGTACAAATCAATCGATCAAATAACATTTGTTGCCAGGGCAACGTTCACAAAGTTATTATGTTATATTGGCGTAGGGGAAATCAGTTGCTTTCGTGTTTAAATATACCGAAAATTGCCACTAAAACAATATTAACATATTCAAATTACCTAAAAATAAACGACTATTCTTAAAAAGTGCGCCCAATGAGGTTGGGGTGCGGCGAAATTGCGAAATTTTTTTTAGGTACGGTCACCTTTGGCTAATGCCGAAAAACTAAAGAACTTGACGTTAATAGAGCTTTTAATATAAATACTTACATATGTAAAATATTCACAATTCCTCAAGTGATCGAAAGGTATTCTTTTAGTTCTAGCCATATAACAAATAGATAGGACAACACATATAAATATTTACCACAAGAAATTGGATCGTTTTGTCCCACCCAAATTCGTATATACACACGTGCTTTCAATAATTTTTCTCTGACCGCTCGGCTACATCGCTTTCAATTTTTCTCTTTTTTTCTTTAATTCATTTAGATAAAGTTTCGCTTGGAAGCAAACAAGGGACTTATTTAATGAGCTGTTGAAAGACAGTTTAGGCTATGCGTCGAGTAATCCGTTACCAATAACCGATAATTCTGAATCGATATACATTTAACATAACGATTTAACAGACATTGTAACAGAGAAAGGAAAATGACAGCAAAAGGTTACAAATGCGGTGCTGCAGAGTAAGTGTCACAGAATTTGTTGCCACTCATTGTGGTCACATCAGATGCTATTAATAATTTTTCCTACCCCCGACAATTATGGCAACAAAGATTTTGACTTTTTACATAATAAACGGTGCGGCGCACTGCAGCGGAGCGCAAAAATGAGCAGAGCGTGCTGCGGCAGCGGTGCGGCGAATTGGGCTTAACAGCATTTTGATGCAGCTAAATTGTGGTCACACTGCCCAACAGCTGTGTTAAGTCTTTGTTGTGTTTTTCTTTTTCAATTTAAATTCGAAGCGTCAGTAGCGTATTTACTCTCTATAAAATACAATCACACAACTATGGGAAACACTAGTAGCAGAAAAGAATCGGACAATGTGTACACAAATGAGGAATTGCGCTTTCTAGAAACGGCATACCGCAATGCATCTGGCGGTGCATTAGAGAAATTAACCTCAGATCGACTTGTGGTAGGTGAACGCTATCGGGTCGTTGCACTTTTGTGAATTTTTGGCCAACAAATCAATGCTTGGCTGCCAGCGGCTCCGGTCACAAGTTCAAGGTTTGCCGCAACAGTGTCATGCGACTCCATAGATAATATATATTGTATGTGCGTATGTGCGTGAAAACCCATTGCCTATATCGGCGTTATCAATAACAATTTGCATTAACTGTATACGTTTTTGGTTGTACAATCATGTCTTTGGCTAGACGAATTTATTTGCTTTGCGCATTTGCGGCTGACTTTCTGTTTGTTTAGCCTCGTCTAATTTGCTTGCTAACGAATTAGTCGTGATTCCAAGGGGGCCAACACATAATTATGGCAACGAAATTGAATTTGTGATAAACAATGGACGTGACGAGTACAGCAATTGTCATCAAATATTAACAGTGTGCTCGTCCCCTCTAGCTCTGTAATCAAAGAGTTTGCTTACGATCGCATTAATTTGTTTATTTTTATGTATGTGTGTGTGCGTGTGCATGTTTTGGATTGCCCGAATAAAACAGGAAGCGTGGTCCCAGACAATCGAGCGCTCGCTAGCCGAGGCCACGGCTCAATATCTGTTTATGCCAACGAAGCCGGGCCAGCAAGTCATCAATATACCATTGAAAAAATTTGGCGAGCCCTACTACATTATGGAGCGCGGCAGCATTGAGATGAAAATGCAAATGTTGCTGTCATCTCTGCAGTGCAGCCCCAACGACAGTTTGAGCAGCAAAAAACTGGAGCAGGTGCGCTCTTATCTGATGATAACTGAGTTAGTTCTTAATTAATGGCCAGTCTGTTTACAGTATATACACTCTGTCATTAAGAGCTATGTGCAACTGGAGAGCACTTTGAAGAGTTCCAATATCAAGGACTGGCAAGACCTGGGCGTGATTACCACGGAGCGTTCGCTCTGCAGCTTTGCCAAGGGGCTGATGCGCAGCCTAAGCAAAGACTTGGAGCACCCTTTGCACAATGAGGCATTGGAGCGTTGGCTCCATGTAACGCCACAATTTCTACAGTTGTGGCGCGAGGTGTTCGCGCAGCTTTACACGCGGCACGGCGGCAGCAAGCGAACAATCGTCAAAGAGATGGAAATTTCCATTCTGCCCCAGCTATGCGGTATGTAATGCGCAATGGCGTTGTTTGTATCTCAATCATGACAATCGTAAATCACATTTAATTACACACACACACACACACACACAGATGCGCCGCATAATAGCCACTACCGGCCAATCATCGAGCTGCCACATGTGCTGTATATTAATGCACAGTTGCCGCGCGAGATGCGTCATAAATGGCGTTTCCTATTCTCGTCGAAAATCCACGGCGAGAGCTTCTCCACAATGCTTGGCAAGATGATGGACAAGGGACCGACGCTGTTTTTCATCGAGGACGAGGATCAATACATTTTCGGCGGCTATGCACCTGAATCGTGGGCACTTAAGCCCCAATTCGCTGGTAACGATACTTCGTTGCTCTATACGCTCAGTCCAGCCATGCGCTGCTTCAGCGCCACTGGCTACAATGACCACTATCAGTATCTTAACTTGAATCAGCAGACAATGCCTAATGGGCTGGTGAGTAATTGTGCAGCCTATAGACGTATATCGATTTATATTATCATTACTATGCTCTTTTCTACAGGGCATGGGTGGACAGTTCGACTATTGGGGTAAGACCGATTGAATAGATTTCTAATTGAAATTTGATTATAGCTGTATTTGTATTATAAATAGGTCTCTGGTTGGACTGCATGTTTGGCGAGGGTCAGAGTGTCGAGAGCTGTACTACATATGCCGACTATGTGCAGCTCAGGTGCGTTCCTGCTACTATTTTGGGGTTCAATATAAAATAACGAAAAATATCCTTCTTTATAGCAAACGTAAGCAATTCAAAATACGCAACTTGGAGGTTTGGGCTGTAGGCGATTTGCCTGTCAAGGATGATGAAGAGGGCGGCGGGGATAATCAGGTAAATATTCCATATAATTAAGCGAGAGGGCCGAAAGTAAAAACTTGGAAGTATTTTATAACATATGTAAATATAAGTTTGCATACATTTTCTTTAAATGCGTTTCGCTTTTTCCTGTAGAAACGTTCTGTATTGGATGGTAATTTGGAAGATCGTGCCATGCTTGAAATCGCCGGCAAGCAAATGCACTCGGATGGTCTGCGTGAGCCGGGCATGGATGATTGATGGCGGTCGACATGGAAGGCATTGAGTGAAATCTTGGAGTTTATCAGATTCAAGAATTTATAGCGTCATGTCTCTTTTTGAGTGTGCGATTTAAACCTATACATATTTACTTTAGCTTTAAAAACCTTTTCAAACTACTTTAGATCAAATCCTGGGTACAAGGTTCTTTCCATTCCTACAACACTTAAGCTATTAATATTAATAATCTATAATCTATATATACTGAGATATATACATACATACGTATATAGAATGTATTATGCATAGTGTCTATGTAATACTGAAAGTATTGTTGTTGCGTTCTAGGCCTACAAGTGATTGTGAATTATTTAAAAGCAATGTAATGTCGTCGTAAATCTCCCCTCTTTTTCGCGTTTCAATAAATCGCTAATATTTTGCTGAATTCAAGTTTATTGCTACAATTAATTAATTAGAATATCTCGCACGCCACAATATGAGTAGATCATTAATTAATGTACTTTAAATGTCAACAGCATAGCCCGAGAGCGTAACGCCTGGTGCAATCTCCTCCTCAACGTATGAGCCGGCCTCTTCGAAGGAGCGCGCATTGCTGTCCTCGAAGCTGCGTCCTACGCTCGCCGGCGTCTGGCGCAGCGGCGGAGCCCGCTGGCCGAAATTGCGCGACACACCATAATTGCCGGAGTTCTGGTTGTGGTTGGAGTTCTGGCCATCTTCGTCGTAGCGTCGACCCGTCGATCGTAGCTTTGGTGCCTGGAATGTGTGCTGCTGCTGCTGGTCGTTGTTGTCCCAGCCGGGGCGATTGTGGAAGTCGTAGGTGCTCGTCTCGGAGCCCCGCGGATAGTTTGTCTTGCGCAGCATGGCCTTAAAATTAAATGGTGGCTCCTCAGAGTTCTGCCAGGAGAGAAGTGCTGCAATCAGTTCGAGTCCGAATCGTATTCTCTGACGTTACTTACATCGTCCTCGTTGCGACGCGCCATGTTTTGCAGCTCCCGCACCGGATCCGAGGGCGGATATGAGGAGCGTTGCTGGTAGTTCCGTTGCTGCTGGCTGGGATTATTGCGATACTGATTCGAGGATGGCATCGGTGGCGGCGGCGGCGGCGCCGCATAGCCCTTTAAGGAATTGCGACGCGATCCGGATCGATAAACTCCCCAATTGGCGTTCTGATAGTTGCTGCTGTTGTAGTTATTGTTGTAGGCATTGTTATAGGCATTCATGTTCCTTTGCATTTGATTCCTGATGGGTTAAATTTGAGAAGGGACTCCACTAGGATTCCGCAATGGAACTCACCTTCTCAGCTGCTGTGGATCCCGGAAGTAGTTTTGATTGTAGATGTTATCGCTCTCGCCCATGCGATCCCAGTTCGTCTGGCAGGCCTGCTCCTTCTTATACGCATTGTAGGTCAGCAAGCACGAGGTCATTGAGGGATTGCGCTGCAATGGACTATCCCAGGGCTCGTCGTCCTCCGTCTGCTGCAGCAGTAGGTGATTCGGAAAGGTTTGGCGCGTGATCGAATTGGCCGGATCCACCATATATTGGGTGTCGTAAAATGGTATCTGGTCCAAGCGGAACGGCATCTTCTTGATGGGCACGGGCAACGGCCCCAGCTGGGAAGAGTTCACCTCACGCATATTG